AATGTTTGTAAGGTTCACCCACATTATAGCGTGTATCAGAATTTCATTCCCTTTTCTGGTTGAATAGTATTCCATTGTATGGAGAGACCACATATCGTTTTAACACTCCTCTGTTGATGGACATTTAGGTGGTTTCCATTCTTTTTGTGAATAGGGCTGCTACGACAACACTGTCCTCTGGTTTAGTTTGGGTCCCAAAGCTGTGACTTCCGGTGTCTGAGTCCTGACCATGGTGACCATGGGGGGTGGGCTCATTCGTAACCCGCTTATCATGGGTTCGCTGAAGCCTGGAGGGAGAGGGCTTGGCGCCTCAGCCAGAAGGGAAGGCACCTTGGAGGCCGAGGTGCCCCTGGCACTGGGCTTGGCTCTGCATACTTTATGTGGTTTTGCTTCTGCCTAGAGGGAAATAGAGAGAGGAAAGTGCAGGTTTTATCTTCACCCTGAAGCAGCTCTTTGTCTCTCCCTCCTGGGCCTGGGGCAAGTTTATACAAGCCAGGAAACTGTGACCTCAGGCTGTCTCCTCTGAGCCTCGCATCCGCATCTGTGAAAGGGGGATGATAATTCCTGTTTTACGAGGTGCTGTGAGGATTAAATGAGATGGAGCCTGTGCAAGGCTCACCTCTTTCCCCGCTGGGACTTGGCGCTGCTGGGCGAGGGACTGGTGGTGGAGGGTGCTCGCATGCAGGTTCACTTCCGTAGAATCTTTCCTGATTCACAACCGCCAGGGCCCTTTTGGGTCCCCTTAGAAGAGGAAGGAGCTGAGGTTATTCTCATCACCCTGCTTAGCTGTCACTTCTGGAAACTTGTCCCCAACTTCCTTTTTCTGCAGTTAATTTTGGTGCTTAGTGTATGAATCTGTGGAAATTGGTTTCTTCCCATTTCACCCTTAGGCACGATGGGGCTTGGAGCTAATTTTAATAAGATGAGCTTTCTGTGGATTGTGTTTTTTTTAAAAAGTATCTTTGAAGGGCCCACCATGCCGGGTATCTTACAGGATGTTGCTTGCAGGGGCCTCCCCCACCCCTCACCCCTGTGCGCAGTGGAAGAGTTGGGGGCCTGGCTGATGTGGGCGTCCATCCTGGCTTTACCTCTCACTGACCCAAGCCCTGTGACCCTGGATCGCTTTTCACTTTCTTCATCTGTAAAAAGGGGGGTTAATGTGAAAATTAGTTGCCTTGCTTTGCAGTGGTTATTGTGTCAACTCGTGATGTTTTGGTTGCAAATAGACAACCCAAACAAAAGTCATTAAATAATAAGGGGTGTTGCATCGCCCCATTCAAGTCTGAAGGTAGAAAGGTCCAGGACTGGTTGAGTTAGCAGCTGGAGGGGGGGGGGCGGCGAGGTGTTTTCCTGCTTTCCCCTCCCCAGCCATCCTCAGCAGGTGGGTGATTTCTCCCCTCCTTGTCACACAGTGGCTGCAGCAGCTCCACGCGAGACCTGTGAGTCCAGTGACACAGCATGGCGTGCCCCTCCCTGTAGTCCCTTTTTATTTGTGAGGAAGCCCTTCCCCAGGAGTCCCCTTGCAGTCTCCTCTTAGGTCCCCTTGTCCCATGTCTTAGTCTGGGAACTTTAGGTCCCCTGGGCCCTGAGGTGAGGATTCAAGTATTGGTGCTCTATTTGGGAAATCAGGCCCACTGAGATCAAGCAGACGGGAAAGAGGGGGAGCAGGCCAGGAAAGATGGGAAGCCATGTGGTGCAGTGTGTGACCACGCTGGCCACTGTTTTACCATGAGCCTCAAAAAAACACGGGCTAGTGTGTTCACATGGCTCCGAGGGCCTTCTCTGAGAGGCTTGCCAGGAGACACCATATCCAGATTTGTCAAGAATCACTTTTACTTTGCTTGCTGGGTATTTTTTGGAGGGGAGAGAGAAGAAAGGAACATACTGGTAATAGCTTTTAAAATGAAGTTTTAAACCTTCCCTAAATCCGGTACATTGCTCTCTAGCCACTTTTCACTGGGAGGTGACAGAGCTACTAGTTGAGGACACAGACTCTGGAGTCGGACTGCCTGGGTTCAAACCCAGGCCCTGCAGGTCATGGGCCCACGAGGGACCTGTGCCTACCTTTTAGGGTCCTTTGGAGGATTAAGTGAGTTAATATCTGAAAGCGCCTGGAACAGTGCCTGGCAGAGTCTGCACTGTGCATCTGAGGTATAATGCGTCAAGAAGACAGAGTCCAAGCTGTGAGTTTAATCTTTAGAAACTTGCCTTTTCGCTGTGATGGTGATCCTTGCACTTTCGGAACTCAGAGCCTCTGACTCACTGTCTTGTGTAAGGCTCATCAGCAGCCAGTGTTTGCTGAGCCGAGGACAGTAAAGGTCACCTGTGCAAATTCACAGACAATCTTGGCCTTCATGCACGCCCTCCTCTGACTTCCATCAGGAACGGCACCTCCCCCAGGGCTCCTTCCATCTGTCCTGCCGTGAACTGGTTCACCCCCCCCAGCCATGAGCCGGCGCTCAGGCCTTTAACACAGCATTGCCCATGCAGGCACTTGAGAATTGCTTGTTTAATGAGTTGTCAGGGCTTTTAACCCTGAATTACTTATTTACAGTCATATCTTACTACCCTTACTTTCCTGCAAACAGCTTGAGGGTGGGCCCAGGGCTTCACTCTGTGTTCAGGCAACATTTGGATGGAGGGATGACTGAATGGATTTGAATGCATAGTTGCACATACGAAGAGATAACAACATTACAAGGGGCTGGGACATGCCATCGAGAGTCATGAGGTCATGTAGTTGAATGTTTTCCAACTACTGGGCCAACAAAAGGAAAAAAAAATGGCCGCCCTGAGCTACTTGTTAGCACCCAGCTCGCTGTTTTCCTCCCTGTCCCCTGTGGTCCATCCTGGACTGTGTGGGTTGATGCGTAGCGTAGATTGAGGGGCATGGCTGGAGGCAGGAAGGTGAGCTGAAGTTTAGGCCGGAGATGATGAGGGCTTAAGGGTAGAGTGGGTAGTGAGGGTGGAAAGTTTGGGGGTAGGGTGGGGAGAGAACAGGAAGAGAGTCAGCAGGGCTTGGTCCCCCACTGTGGGCACGAGGAGAGAGGAGGACCCCTGGATTCCTCTGGGGGCCGGTGCCTGGGCCACTGGGAGACAGGACAGGAACTGGCTGTTTTTCTGTCTCCCTAACCCACGGGATGAGACCCTGTGTTGACCTTGTCGTCTCTAGTTGATAAGCGCAAATGATGGGGTTAGGGGAAGGGATGCGGGGCTGGAAAATCAGGCTCCAGGACCCGGCGGCCTTGGCCTTGCCCTGGGACCTTGGAGCTAGTCTTTCCCCCATCTCTGGGCCTTAGGGATCGCCTCCTCTCCAAAACAAGAGGCTCATTCTTTCCTTTATGGCATTTATTGAGTGCCTACTGTGTGCACCATTCTAGGCACGGAGCAGAGATGAAGTTTTTGTTTTTGTGGAGGGCACATTTTGCTTGGCGGAGACTGATAATGAGGTAAATGCTGAGGAGAAAACACACCAGTGATGTGATGGAGAGTGAGGGGTACTGGTTTCCATTGGTTGGTTGGAGAAGGACTTGCTGAAGAGGTGGCATTTTTGGCAGAGTGTTTTTGGAGAAGGGAATAACTACAGAAAGGCCCAAAGAGGGAAACCAACTTTTATGCAAAGCGCATGAGGGGACGAGGAGATCAGAGGGGCCGCATGGGGGGTGACTCAGAGTTTGAGTTTTATTCTAAGTGTGATGGAAAATTGGAGGAAACTAGGGTCCCTTTTGATTATTTTCTTTTTCACAAGGACCATGCTAGGAAAACCCCTGTTAACTAAAAAAGGGTGTGGTTATTGGTTATTAAACAATAGAATGCACAACTTGAATTATTTTAGGATTTTATTATTTTTTTAAAAGATTTTTTATTGGGGAATTGGGGGAGGGGAACAGTGCTGAGGAATCGGGGGGAGGGGAACAGACAACTTGCTGTCCTTTTTGTTCTTCAGTCTAGTTGTGGAGGATGTTGCTTCACTTGCCCACGTTGGTATTACCATTGCGCTTTTCCTGGCTGAGGCAGATCGGTCGCCAGCCACTGGACGGCCACTCACAGCAGCTCTTGACAGTTCACACCAGCTGCCGGCCACACACAATAGTTTATGGCAGCCCACTGCAGCAGGGACTGCAGCCTATGCCATCGCTAGTGACTCACGGTAGCCCAGCTCGAGCTGTTGTTCACCATCTTAGCTGTAGAGGGCAGTGTCACTGGCCCTCATATGTGGGATTCGAACCGGGGTCCTGCTGTTCAGAGCTGGTGTCCCAAGCTAGCTCTTAACCAATGCGCCATTTCGCCGGCCCTATTTTAGGGTTTTAAAGTATGGGGAAATAATTTACGGATCACAACGAATATCTTTGAGGACTCCCAGCAACCTAAAGATGACAGACGGAGACCCTGTTAACTAAAGAATCCTTAAGTTCCCTCTGTTTCAAACATTCCTTCTTCCCAAAGCTGCATGCCACATGATTCACAACAACAAAAAAGATTACTGCCACCTATTGATAGAAGTAATAGGATAAATTGTTGTGCAATGAAAATCCCAAACCCCGTGGATTTCTTCTGTGCCCCAGCTGGCTTTACCCTCTTTAGTGGACACCTGGAAATGGCTCTGGGAAGGGGTGGCATGGTCCTGCGTTCTTTCTGGCTCGGAGAATCTGGACTCTGTTTCTGTGTCCTTCTACCCCCATTCATAACACAGTGGCAGGAGGGACGGCTGACCTGGGGAGCCGCTGCGGTGCTGGATGTATCTGTGGGGAAAAACACTGGGAAGCCAATAGCCGGCCATCTCCATGTAACCGAGGGAAGCCATTGTTTATAATTGACTGCGGCTGCACTGAGTTCCCACATCTAGTGTCCCCATACCTGAGACTTGGCCAGCAGGCCTTTGTTTAATGGACTTCTTAGCAGCTGGCCCGCATTATTAAATTCACAGATGCTTTATTTCTGATTTGCATTTTCCATGGCTGAGTAAATCTGCTGACTTTCGTTTTCTTTTTCTGTTACAGATTTTGTGCACAAATGACAGCTGTAAGTACCACCACCCTCTCCACTCTTGTGTTGTTCGCTACTGCCCCCTGGTGGACACAGCAACATTAACAGCGATGTGAAAAAAATCACAGAAAGTGCTAATTTGTTAAAACTCACTTAGTTTCCCATTTTTTCTGTACATTGGGGTGAGGTGGAAGTGGCGAGTGAAAGAAAAATTCAATCAATTGTATAACCTGGACAAATAAAAAGCTTATATTTTCTGTGATTTCTTCCCCCCCATCCCCCAAGCTACATCCATGGATGATTAAAAAAAACCACAAACGACACCCCAACTTTGTTGAAACTATGATGCAGTATGATTTATATTTATTTTATGTGCTGTGACCTCATAAGTATTTCCTTGGGTTGCTACATTGCCCCATGATTTTAAAAATGGTATACAGGGTTTGTATAACCTCTGGAAAACCGGGCAGCCTCCTGTATATTTAGCTTCCATGTGGAGGGCTGAATCCTATTTGCTCACCAGTGCTGGCCCACTGAACTCCTCTCTGGCCTATAGTAAAATGAGAAAAATGAGGATGTGATAGTAAACTTTTAACAAAGCTAAATATATTCAATGGACAGCACTGCCTATTCCGGGATTAAGTCCTTAATATATTTTTTTGGTCATAAATGTTTCTATAAGAAATAAAGATAATAGTGATTGGTAGTTATTATTATTTTTTTAATGTACCTTTCTGGAAAAATTGGTAGCTTTTGTCTGTCCTCAAAATTTGGGGACTTTTTTGTTTCTGGGGTTGGTAAAATCCCAAAGTCTGTGAACCACAGAGATAAAATAATTAGAATGTTCTCAGAGTGCCACACAAAGTGGGCAGGTCTTGCTGAAACCTTCTAATGAAGTAAATCTCCCTTAATAACTGTAATTATGCGAAGTCGGTGCAAATAGTGGTAAGAGCTCTGCAGTTGCTTTTTTCCCTTGTTAATCAGTTTGGTAAATAAGGTGATATTTTAAAGCAGGAGAAGGGGAGATGAAGGAACTAGGATGCATTTAAAAAATTATAATAAAAACCCCTGTTGTATAGTGAGTGTCTGGTGGGAGGTGCCACTTTATTAGTTTATATTTTGTTTTTCTTTCTTGTGTTCTAGGTTGTAACAATGTTTCATTCACATTTACAACTGCCGAGATTGTTTTCAGTAAGGTACCAGAAACCATTTCAGTAGAAATGGTTTCTGATTTGAACGGCCAGAATCAGCAGAGTCCCCAAAAGCTGAATGACGGGACGGTTTCATTTGGGAACCTGACTCCTGGGATGCGTTACAGTTTCAATTATTCACATGACTCTACTATCTGCTGCCAAAAAGAAGTGCAAACACGTGAGCAAGACTCTTCTTTTGGGACAGACTGGGGGGTTTAGAGAATGTAAATGTCTTCACATCTGCAGTGTATTTGAGATCATTTGATCCGAGCTTCCACAGTAAAAGCAATTATTTCTTGTATCTCTCTTCTCCTGATTCCCGTTCCCTGGCTGGGGGGTATCCTGGTTCCTCTGAGAGCTGCGCTGGGTCTCTCAGAGAGCAGTAAGTACTACCAGGGCTGAGCAGATCAGAGTTTAGATCCAGAGACCCAGGTTTGCTTCCCGGCTCTGCCAGTTTCTGCCTCTGTGAACCTGAGCAAGTCATTGGTCCTCTTAGACCTTGGTGTCTTCATCTTTATTAAACACACACACACACACACACACACACACACACACACACACACACACACTTTAGAAACATACTTTTAAATGTGCTTTATTTTCTGAACTATTGACACTTAAGAACCTGCTTTTGTAAAACCTCAGAATCCCTGTATGAATGAAATTTAGTTCTTAGCCCATTTCTCCTTTGTAAAAATGGTGCCATAGCTTTCCTGGTGAAGTTGTTGTGAAGCATAAATGAGAAAACGGTACCCAGGGGACATGATCTGCCGCCAATCATGCTGCCGTTCTTGCTGCCTCCACCACGGTGACTGTGTTTACTGTTTTATCCTCCTCCTCTTCACCATGGTTGGCACTGACTGGAAATGGCACCATCACAATAACCTGCCAAAAATGCTACTGTGAACTTGGCACTTTCTAAAGAAGAAGCTCAAGTCTGCAGGGCTTTGCTGGCATGACGTTTATTGAATTGTGGGCCACAAGACTCTTCCCTGCCTGTTTCTTTTTTCTTTCTCTTCTTTCCTCTCCTGCCCCTTTTAGTGCATTGGGTAAATGCTTGCACCTCCCAAGTGCCAGGTAAGGCACGCTCTCCATGCTGTCATTGGAAGGTCATGGGCATGCCGAGGTGGTGTTACCTGTACCATCTTTTCTCTCATGGCGTGCACCTTTAGGTCCTTGAGAAGAAGGGCCTCATTGCCTGCGCTTCCTCTCCTGTTGCTGGTGGGCACAGCTCAATCTTGAATGCAGTTAGGCTGCATCCATTTTGAAGGTTTAGTTACTGATAATAACTGTAGTAACTTCCGTAGTTTTAGGAGCCTGTACATCTACAGTTTGACAGATGATGGAAGTGAGGTTCAGAGATCTGAGGAGACTTTGAGGAAAGTCACGTAACGAATCACTAGCAGGGTGGGACTCCGAACCCAGATTTTTAAAATGTCCATATCCAGTGACCTTGTTTCCCATATCATGGTGACTTAGTAATAATAATCCTTTAAGTTTAATATAGTGTGTTAGAGCTGTCAATAGAGGAACCTGAGACTGAGAGGTTTGAAGGGACTAATTCCGCGTCAGACAGCTAAGCGGGGAGCAGGTCTTTGTGTCTAGGTTTGGGTTCCAAGATCCGTTCTTTTCTCTTTGTGCTATTCTGTCCCTTGCTGTCTTTATGCCAGAAAACTGCAGAGCTTCCTCCTGATATCAGTGTTGGGCAAAAAAGTCACCACATGCTGCTGCACCAGATACGCCTCTGCACACACCATGTTTTCTGAGAATCGGGAGATAGGCTCACTTTGCATCTTAGGTCTCTGTTTGTAGCAGCTTCTGTGCAGCTTTAACCCATGCTCAGGTCACAGTGAACATGGCCACTCTCTCTCAGTTTTGCCTCCACTCTAAAGTTTTCTGATTCACAAACACATGTGCATGCATGTATTGTATATGTGCCCTAATGTATTTTGTTGGAGGGAATTCTAGGAGGCAATAAAGAGAAATGAAATTCTATGATTGTAAAATTTACTTTTGGAAAGTAGACAGTCTTGACTAGGGCAGTCTTGACTCTTACACCTTTTTTCTAAATATAATTTTTCTTTCCTATTTTTTTTTTTAAAATATTAAAATAGAACCCATTCCTGTGTGGGACATTGAAGCTGGTTCCATCAGTCCAACCAGTGTGAGCCTAACATGGAAAAACAATGATACAGATGCTTCTAGTTACACATATAAGGTGACGAGTGAGATGGGAAGTGGGATATCGACTTCTGGTGCAGATCAGACAAGCATTAACATCACAAACTTAAGTCCAGCTACTTCATATATGTTCTCCATCATTCCAGAAGTAAAAGGGCATTTGGGAGATGCCAGGAACATAACTGTCACAACAAGTAAGTTTACTAGCTCCCAGGAATGTCATGAACCGTTCCTTCTCGTCCTGTATCCTAGAGCAGGGGTCAGCAAACTGCGGCTCGCGAGCCACATGCGGCTCTTTGAGTACATACATGTGGCTCTGAAGTAAAATTGAAAATGAAAGTAAAGCTATCATAGTTTCATTTGTAAAATTTTTAAAGGATATTATTTACATAATGGTGATTTCATTTGTTTTATGGTTCTTGAATAATTTTTAAATTATTGTGAGGGACAGGATTGGCTCTTCCATCTCAAAAGTTTGCCAACCCCCGTCCTAGAGCCTTGTCCATTCAAGCTGCCTGTTGAAAAGAGATTGGACTTCATTCGCTGTGGAAAAGGAGAGAAAAGATTCAGTGTTGTTTGAAGCCCAGGAGTTCAGGTGGTTGGATCATTCAGTATTAAGGGCCTCTGTGATTTTAGATGTTTTAACTAATTCCAACTGTTTGGTTTCAAAAATCTTTTCTACTTAGTGGTTATTTACTTTTCTGCTAAGACCCGGGAGCAGATACCCCCCCAATAGCAATGCATCTTGGTGGTGTCAGTAATTCCTAGGCTTCTTTTAAGCTCCTGGGGAAAGTCGATGCTGTGTTTATATTCCCAGGAGTTTTGGTAAATTTTGTACAGGAATGTGTGTTTCAATTGAAGTAAGAGCCCAGTGAGATTCAATTAAGCTTAGATTTTTATGTAGCTTAGATGTTAATACCTTGAACCACCTGTTAGAGCTGTAAATTTAGCGCTTTTTTTTGAAGCTGAAAAGAACCAGAAATATAAAAAAGAGATGAGAAGCTCTTTTTTTAGTTGAGAAGACGCAAACATTTAAAAAAGAGGTCCTCTGTTGGTTTTCTGATCTGGAGATGTGATCGCATTGGCTGGGGGAGGCCATGGAAGCCTGACCTCTAGGAGCCCATGGCTTGAAGTGACCACCTAGCCTGGTGCCTTCTGCACATGGAGCGGGCAAACACTAAACCACTGGTTTTCATCCTTTCTTTTTTTTAGCAAGAGAAAACCACCAGATTGAATGCATACATACATATGCGAACCCTGCATACATGAGACAGTTAGCAACCCCACATGCAGGAAAGGTTCAGAGACAGAAAGAGAACATGGGAATATCAACAACCTTTTTTTTTAAAAAAAGATTTTATTGGGGAATTGGGGGAGGGGAACAGACAAGTTGCTGTCCTTTTTGTTCTTCAGTCCAGTTGTGGAGGACGACACTTCACTGGCCCATGTTGGTATTACCATTGCCCTTTTCCCGGTGAGGCAGTTGCTTGCCGGCCATTGGACGGCCGCTCACGGCCACTCACGAAAGCTCTTGCCAGCTTCCGGCCAGCCCCACTGCAGCCTACCCCGTTGCCAGTGACTCATGGCAGCCCAGCTCCACTTTGAGCTGTTGTTCACCATCTTAGCTGTAGAGGGTGCAGTGTCACTGGCCCTCATGTGGGATCTGAACTGGGGCCCTGCTGCTCAGAGCTGGCGTCCCAAGCCAACTCCTAACCAGCACACCACTCGGCTGGCCCAACAACCTTTTTTAAAAGCCAGGAAATGTTTTCTTTTAAAAATTTTTTTCCCAGGAGCCCAGTAAGTAAAAAGAACTAGAGAGAGAAGAACTAAGGGATGAGGTGTCTTAGGGACCTTCAAAAAACGCCCAGAGCTCCTCAGAGTACGGTTTTAGACAGAAAACCCCCCACAGTAAAGGTTTAGTGTATTATATTGTGAAATGAGGAGGAGAAGGAGCTGGCAGAGAGGAGCTAGAAGAAAATTAAGGAGGAAAAAGAAGGCAGAATTTAGAGAGGGCGATGGGGACAAGGTGATACAGAATTGCTGACCGTGGGGCAGAGAAGGTGAGGAGGTGGCAGGAAGCACCCAGCCCAGGAGCCGAGCAGCCTTACTCCACCTTAAAGCTCCCGAGGACAGGCTGTGTTCATCAGTTACTATTGACTGAGCATGTACTGTGTGTTTAGCTGTCCTCAATACATTATTTTGTCCCCACGGTAACCCTGAGGGCGACAGTGGAAGAAAATGTAACGCAGAGAAATTGTTTCTTCTGAGGTCCCAAAATTACAAGTGGTGGGAACCCAGGGGGCCTGATTCCTGACCACTGTGGTACGGGGTGGTATTCATAACAGGTACCCAGGGTCACGGAGCTGGCTATGTTATTGATGTTCCATTAAAAAAAAAAAAATACGAGTGACCCAATTTAGAAATTGTTGCATCAGAAACATTTGATATGAAGCATAGAATCCTAGAGTGGACTAGCTCGTTTCAGAGTTGGACAGTGCCTTGCAATCATCCAGGCCAGTGTGGTCACATGTAGCCACCTGCAGACCTCGGGTAGGGTTTCTGCTCTGTCTGCAGTACTGTCTGTGCTTTTACGTGCTTAAGGCTGGAGCTTAAGCTTAAGTCTCGTCTCCCCGATGCTGCTACCAGTAGTGTGCGTTCTAGAGCAAGTCACTCGCCTCTCTCTATTTCCATATTCTCATCTTAAAAATGAAGGGAGTAGATGTCATTTTGGCTGAAATAGTTTGGTTTATGTCACCAACAGTCAAATAAGGTGATGGAAAGAATGGTGGGGGGAATAGTATAGATGGGAAAACCCCCCTCGGGGTTAGACTACAGGGATGAGCTCCTTAGTGGGAATATCTTTGTATTACGGACTGATATTATTGTGTTATCTTGACTCGAGACCTTTAGATATAGCAGACAATCACTTTATTTCATGCTTTGTTCCTGATGTCTAAAACAAATAAAATTAAATGCTGCTGTTCCTTTTTTAACCTTCCGTTGGGTGCAGCTGATCTCACAGAGTCATTGCACACAAATTTTCAACTATCAAATGTATTAAGTATTGTGACTCATCGCTTCCGTATCTTCCCCCTCTACCATAACCTGTCGCCAGTCGTGTTTGTGACTTAGTACAGTCAAGACGTATTTCATAGCGGCATCTTTGTGTGCAGTGAATCTGTGAGATCAGTTGTGCCCGACGGAGGGTTAAATTTTTTTAACTTTAAATTTACTGGGGTGGTTAGTGAAGTTACATAGGTTTCAAGTGTATAATTCTGTAATACATCATCTATATATCACATTGTGTGTTCACCACCCAGAGTCAGGTCTCCTTCCATCACCATATATTTGACCAAATGCTGCTGTTTCGAAGGGACAATTTAGAAGAGTGTCAACTCACTGTTGGACTTCATTGTCTTGGAGAATAGCATAGATCCGAAAAAGCGTTGGCTTTAAGGTTTATTGTTTTGTTCTCTTTTATGTATAGTGGCATATATCTATATCTATATCAATATCTATATCTATATATATCTCCTGCTGTGGAATGATGGAATTGCACTAGACTCTGATATAAAGGAAGTATTTTTAGTGGGTCACATTGAAACATGAGTGTCCCAGTTATTCCTAATGAAAGGTGATTGCAAATACCTTGTTTCATCAGTGCCCATTGTGTTTTTTAAAAACAGAGCCTTTTCCAGTTTCTGATCTTCATGTTGTCTCTGTGGGTGTGAGGAGCGCTTCTCTTGCCTGGAAGAATAATGGCAATACCACTTGCCGGATGCTCCTTGAAGACACTGGAAGACAGGTTAATATTTCAGGCCTGAAACCAGGGACTCAATACAAGGTCACCCTGTATCTTTTAGAACCAAATGGTACACAGAGAGAGCCCCTGGTTACCGAAAGTGACTCAGGTGAGTTATAAGAGTGTGCTTCTCATCTGCTTGATGGTTTAGACTTTCAGCAACTGAATTGTTTTTAAAAATATTGTTGTGATTTTTATATAGAGTTTCAGATTTATTGAGGGGTCTCCTCCACATTTTACTTTGACCCCACACCTATATGAGGAAGGAGGGGAAAATGTTCTTATTCTATAGGTCAGTGCATTGGGGATCAGAATGACAATGGGGTTGAAACTTCTTGGGTTCTGGCATCCAGGGAACCAGCTGGCCCCTTTAGGTTTTTAAACTCTCACTTGAACAAGTAACAGGTGTGTTAACCCAAGTATGGACGCTGGAGGAACTTAACCACATCCACTGGGAAAAGGGATGCTTCCAAGGCAGGTCTGCAGACGCCTCCTGCATTGACAGTGGAGTAGTCATATGCAGATTTCATGGCATTTTCAGGGGTAACTCTGTGAATTGAGAAGAATAAGTACATCACCCCCATTTTACACATAAAGAAACAGAAGTACAAAGTGGATGTTAGCATTCTTGATGGCAAGTGATGGAAACCAGATTTCAATAGCATAGGTTAGAAGAGCAACTTATCCCCTTGTGTATAATTCCCCGCCACGGGCAGAAGAAAGGCCTTAAAGAAAGAGACGGAGTGATGCTCGTTTCTTCCTGCTTCTTTCTTTTTATTATCTTTTTCTCAGTGTGGTTCCCTCCACACAACTCAAGGAGAAAAGGCCACCAGCAGTTCCCCTGTTTCACCCCTTATCAGCGGGGTTTTGGTCCAGGGGAATAATTCCTTGAATGGGCTCTGATGAGCTGTTTGAATTATGTGGCTATTCCTGGAAAACCATGTTTGGAGTTGGGTGGGAAAAGCTGATTTCCTGAAAGAAGGGAGAGATGCAAATAGCTGAGTCTGAAAGAGGAGCTCAAATATCTGTGGTGCTACCTGGAATAATAGTACAAAGTGAAATATCTGCCCCCATTCAGGCCGTTTTAAGGTGGATGTATCTCTGTCTGGGGGAGGAGGGCAACAGATGCTAGTGGAATACCAACTGTGGGGACTGTCTCAAGTGTTATCTTAGCAGGGCTGGGGGGGTGACACTGAAAGAAGACAGGGATGTCCCTCTGTTGCAGTTAATGTCTTTGCTTTTTGTGTGTGAAACAGATGCCACCAGCACTGCCTCTCTGTCCCCAGTCTCTGTCCATCCTATGACCGGAGACATAGAAGTCCTGCTCCTTGGGTTAAAGCCTGACACACAGTACAATGCCACTGTTTATTCTCAAGCATCAGGTGGCACAGAAGGACAGCCCATGGCCATAGACTTCAGGACAGGTATGATGGATTTTGCAAAATGGTTTCAGCTAGAGTTTCTCGCACAAAGTATTGTCTTCTGTGATTCCGGGTTCTGAGTCATCTCTTGCTTCACAAGTGGTTTTGTTGTCAGAGGGAGTTTTCTGGAAGAGATTTTGAACAAAGCAGACTCAGTGAGATTCTTCTTAGCTCTTGGCCGAGTCACTTTTTTCACTGAGCTCAATAAAGCAGTGAGCAGGGGCTATGTGCAGACGCGGGGCGCTGCCTCTTGTCTTTCTCTCATTTCTCCACACACGAGCCAGTGAGACAAGCTGGTGTAATATTTTTCTTCTATATGCTGATGCTTGTTTTGTCAGTGTTGGTGAAGTATTTCTCCCTGGAGATAAGCGAATGAGTTTCCTTGCTTGGTCTGCCCCTGGAACGCTTGCAGAACTTTCTGCTGAAATTTGCTGACGTGCACATTGCTGCTTTCTACCTCTGCTTGATCAGCACCCCCACTCTGTACATTGACCAGTATTTGGAGGCTTTGGCATTGGTGCTGATGACGGGGTAGAGACATGCACGGTCCCTACACTCAGGAAGTTTCTATACAGATGGGGAATTGAGACAAACATACTGGAAAAGCACCCGGTCGGGCTCTGTGGTCTCCGGAGCAGACGCTGCAGCGTTATAATTCTTGGAGGCTGGGTGGCAGGCAGCATAACCTGACTCTGGTGATCTTATCCAAAAACGTATCTATTCTGAAAGGTTGTCATAGACCCATGGCACGGAGCGGGTGGGGGCTGGAGGACCAAGGACAGAAAATAGACTAGTATACACGAAATTCTGGAGTGCCGGACCATCCTGGGCCTGGTGACACTCCCTCAGGATTCCAAGTCCCGAGATAGAAAGGGTGTGTGTCACATACCTGCTTTCTGGGTTTGTATGCTGGGGAAGAGAGACACGGTCCCTGCAGCGTTTACATGGGTGACAAGCACGTCCTCCCGCCAAGGGGAATTGGGTGGAGTTCGGTGCTGCACGGGTAACACATAGCCATCGTCCACTGTAGCTGCCCACTAAGTGCTGTGGACTTTGGAAGGCTGGAGCATGATTTTTACATCAAATCCGGAAGGAAGGCGTCTTCTACAGGCAGGATTTGAACTGGCTTTGAAGGGGGAATAGGCTTTGGATAAATGGAGAGAGGGAGGTGGACACGCCAGTTGAGGGAACATCATGAGTGAAAGTACAGATGATGGACACTGAGGGATGAAGGTGGAGAGGCCCTGGGCTTCGGTGATGTCTCAAGGACCCTGATAATGCCAGAAGGGTTGATTTAATTCCTAGGAGAGGTTATGTGTATGTTTGAGAGTGGTCTCTCTCTTTTACGGAGCGGGAGTGGGGACATGCTGTAGAGTATGTGGTGGCAATTACTAGCCAGGCTGTGTTACTTGCACAGGGCTAGAAAATTTGGGCAGGAAGCCAGGGGCGAAGCATATCTGTACGGAGCTGTTGCTTTTCCTGGTATCCACGTTAGAAGGGGTCCATGTGCGTCTTTCTTCCCTCTTTCCTTTTTACTGGTGATGCTAATGTGTGGGTGAGGAGCGGAGGAGGCAGCTGTAGGAAAGGCCACGTGGGGCCCTCAGTGACCCTGCGGGTTGGCAGGCGGGAGGCTCCCGGGGGAGGAGGGCTTGATGTCTACAGGGTGGGTAAGGCGCAAGGCGGAGGAGGATGGTGCTCCTCTAGGGGTGCCATTGACAGTGGCGCGCGGGGTGCTGTCCTACATACAAGATGCTGTGCAAGAAGGTGAATGGGGCTGAAATTGAGTCTGTGGGCCCCTCACCAAGCCATGCACCCCAGGGCTGGGTCCGTCCACAGGAGGGCCCTTCTGCCTGGTTTGCTAAGAGGGATTATATCGATTAGCGTGGCCCTGGGGCCCTGCTTTTTAACGTGTTTGAGCAGAATTAAAGTGATAGCGATTGCATCTTAGGCGCTTGGTTGTATGGATACATGCGCACACAGCCTGGTTTGTGTTGCTCAGTCCTAGTGCTTAATAAATAATAATTGTAGTAGCCTTAAACCTCTCTACATGGTGTGTGTATGTGTGTGTATACACATACATACAAACATACACACATGTACATACATATACATGTATTGTACCAGGCCTTTTTCGAGTGACGCGTTAGGTGGGATGGGGTTAAGGAAACCGTCAGAGGGTATTGAGACGCCTCAGACTAGTCATGGTAGAAAACCACCCCTAAGGCTGAAGATCAAGGGGGAGGAAATGGTGTTTCTGGAGCCCAGTGAGGGCTGGGGCAGTGGAGGATGCGGTCATGCCAGAACAGGTGACCAGAACGGGAGGCAGTAGGGACAAAGGCTCCATGCTTTCTCACCCAGCCCCCCGCTGGCCTGCCTGTATTGCTCCTTGGCAGAACCTGATCCCAGGCCATCTGGCTGGGTCCCCTCCAGCCCGCCCCCTTGTGATGCCCTGGGCAGGGGTCAGTCTCCTGGGGCGCAGAGCAGGCACAGAGGACAGAGGACAGCCTGGGTTTGGGGTGTAGGGTGGGCAAAATGGTGAATAACTAGAGTTTTGTGTTATCTTTTCTTGAGCTTAGGGTTGTTATCCCGATTTTTTTAGATGAGGAGACTGATTTTCCTGAGATCCACCTGGATGGTAAAGCAGAGGTAGTCTTGGAACCCAGCCTCATACTGAAGTCTGTGATCTTTAACAGATCATGTGGAGCATAGGGTTCATTCTTGGGTGGATATGTATATGCTTGAGCATTTTCCTGGGTCACCCCAGCACCTAGGGCAGGGCATGTGTGGAGTCCGTGTCATTGTTGGAGGGGCCCACCATACCTCTAAGGGTCACCTCACAAGCAGAACAAAGAGGAACGATGCACTTGCAATTGACCAGGTTGCTTCTTCTTGGACGATGATTGCTGCCTCTTGCTGGGACCCTCATACATTTGTGTGTGTTATGGTTGTGATTAAATCGTGTTGAATGGGAATAATCGCTAAGAGTGTTTCTTAGGCTAGATGACATGTTGCGATGACAGCTTCTCTCTCTCTCTCTCTCTCTCTCTCTCTCTCTCTCTCTCTCTCTCTCGGCCTTTCTGGTTATTGTTAACTCTTTTTGTGTCTTCACAGGCCCTAGTCAGGTTTTGGACCTCGAAGCTGTAAACATCAGTGCCACGAACATGACCCTGACCTGGAAAATCAACGATAGTGATTTATCCTCTGCCTATACCTACAAGATAGAAGTTGCTGGGGTGAACGGTTCCCTCAATTTCACCGTCAACAAGACACATGCTTTCATCACTCCACTCAACTCCCGTACATTATACAACATCACAGTGCGTCCTTTCCTTGATGGCGGTTCGGAGGGCACACCGGGATTTCTCCAAGTGTACACCCGTGAGTTCACGCATTGTTTGTCAGCCTTTCTTGCCTGCCTGCTATGTGCCAGGCCTAAATACAAGACAAAGCTCTGTTCTGCCCTCAAGGAAAGCACAGCTCAATGCGTGAGCCCACAGGACCCTTACCCCTTCCGATGTGCGATATAATGGTGACTGTTGACTGGCCCTACCCACATGCTGGGCACCGTGTGACTTGCTTTCCATGCTGTCTCATTTAATGTTTGCAGCCCTGTGACATGGTTGGCATCAGCCTATTTTATGGATGAGGAAGCCAAGGCTGAGAGAGGTGCCGTAGGCAGGTGCCACACCAAGCAAGTGACAGGTGGGATTAGACAGCTGTGCTGTCTCTGCACCAGCCTGTGCTTGGAATGACCAATGAGGTAGAGGCCTGGAGCAAACTACTATATGGAGCAGAAAAGAACCTGGATACTCATGTTCCTTTGTCCTAAGATGCTGATGTTATAATGAAGCAGGGAACAGCTGTGTCTCATCCTTTGCTTGCTTAACTGCCCCTTAAAGATAAGATGATAGGCAGCACATTAAAAGCTTTTAGTTTTGAAGAAGGTCTGATAATTTAAAATAAAGCAATAATGGTATACCAGTAGTATAGTAATATAATACTATCATATTGGGTTGTTGGAAAAGTATTTTTCTGTGTTTTTCGTTGCAAAAATGCGTCATGACTTTTCCGACGACCCAATAGTATCAGTATCGCAATGATCTTCATGGTAGCTATTAGGATCCCTGTTTGACAGATAAGAAAACTACAGCCCAGCATGGCTAGACAGTTTGCCTAAGGCCACAGACCTGGCAAGTGGCAGAGCAGGGACTTGAACCCAGGGTGCCTGGCTCTGGACCCAAGGCTTATTCCACAAGAATGCTTTACTTGAGTGTCTGTTCACTCCCAGGAAGCACACCAGCACGGGACAAGGTCCTACTCCAGACCCTGAGCCCTTGCCCACAGAGCTCACGCCTCCTCGCATTCCCTGTGAATGACTTTGTACAACCTAAGCAAACGGTTCCTGCCTACGTATTTTGTGAGGTTCAATCACCCTTGTTTTCTGGAGAAATAGATTCTTAATCTAGTCGTTTCCTTTCTTCCCTCAGGCCCTCATCCAGTTTTCGACTTTCGAGTGACGAATGTCAGCACAAGGGCTATTCACTTAGCTTGGAGCAGCCATGACTCAGATTCCTTTAAGATACTTACCACATGGGATGGAGTTGAAAAGCCTATGGAGAATATCACCAACCAAAGTAGTATTGTCATTGGTGGCTTATCCCCTGGAACCACGTATTGTTTTGAAGTACTTCCACAAGGGCCAAATGGGACTGAAGGGGATCCCCAGACAGTTTGCAATACAACTGGTAAGCAAATAGGCTGTGTTTTCTGTGAAACTGGTGTTTCTTAAAGAAAATTAGTATAATTTATAAATGTTGGATTTTCCAAATATTACTTTTTTTATAATTATCAAAGAAAAATCTTTAAAAAAAATTTACAATGACAGGAATGCATTGTAAATTGTTTATTCTATGACATATGGATGAGAAAAAAGAAAAAATCACATATAAACCATCAATCAGAGATAATCACTGGTAACTTTTGATGTATGATTTTTACAATTTTAAGACATATACAGGTATCTATATACACACATTCATATACATAGATATATCTATTTTCTTTTACAAACATTGAACTCATTCTGTACATGTGGTTTTGTGATCTGCTTTTTTCCACATACAAGCTTATTATGAGCATTTTTCCCTATCAATATAAATTTTTCTGTATTTCTACAAGATATTTTTAATATCTTCCTGGCAATCCATTCTCTACATCAAAGGTCAACAGATAATTATGGCCCATGGGTCAAATCTGGCCAGTTGCCAGTTTTTGTAAATAAAGTTTTATTGGCACACAACCATATTTATTTATGTACTGCCTATGGCTTCTTTTGTTCTTGAAATGAGTAGTTGCAACAGAGAATATGTATATGGCCTGCAAAGCCTTATTGAAAACGTTTGCTTATTCTGTGACCTTATAGAAAAAGTTTGCTGACCCTGGGCTAGATCAGTAGTTTTCAAAGTGTGATCCAGGGATTTCTGGGAGTCCCCTAGATTCATTCCAAGTGTCTGTGAGACACTATTATCATAATAGTAAAATGTTATTTGGCTTTTTCACTCCCATTCTCTCATAATGAGTGTACAGTGGAGCTTCCCAGATGCTGTATCACTCTGACAGCTAATGGAATGTGTACTTGTGTATTCTTATGTTTTAAAAGTTTCCTCTTTTTAAATTTATTTTTTTTAAAATTTCCCATTAGAGTTGACATTCAATATTATTTTATATTAGTTTCAGGTGTACAGCATAGTGGTTAGACATATACATGATTTATGAAGTGATCCCCTGATAAGTCTAGTGCTCATCTAGCACTATACATAGTTATTACAATATTATTGACTATATTTCCTATGCTGTACTTCATATCCCCATGACTGTTTTGTAGCTATCAATTTGTACTTCTTAATCCCCTCACCTAGCTTCCTAACTCCCCTCCCTTCCTGGACTTGTGTGTCTATTTCCTTTGCCAGGTTAGGGAAGTTTTTAGTCATTATTTCTTCAAATAGGTTCTCAATCCCTTGCCCTCTCTCTTCTCATTCTGTTACCCATATGATGCAAATGTTATTACACTTGATGTTGTCCTAGAGGTCCCTTAAACTATCCTAATTTTTTTTATTCTTTTTGCTCTTCCGATTGGGTGTTTTCTGCTACCTTGTATTTCAAATTGCTGATTCTGTCCTCTGCTTCATCTAATCTGCTGTTGATTCCTTCTAGTGTGTTCTTAATTTCAATTATTGTATTCTTCATTTCTTGCTGGTTCTTTTTTGTGGTTTTTATGTCCTTTTTTATGTTTACTATCTCTTTGTTGAAGTTCTCACTGAGTTCATCTTCCCCTAAGTTCATTGAGCATCCTTATAACTAGTGTTTTGAACTGTGTATCTGGTAGGTTACTTGCCTCCATTTCATTTAGTTCTTTTTCTGGAGCTTTGTTCTGTTCTTTCCTTTGGGGTATGTTTCTTTGTTTCCTCGTTTTGGCTGCCTTTCTGTGTTTGTTTCTATGTATTAGGTAGATGCTATATCTCCTAGTCTTGGCCAGGTGGCCTTATGTAGTAGGTGCCTTGTATGGCCCAGTGGCACAGTCTCCCTGGTCACCTGTGCTGGGTGCTCCAGGAATGTCCCTTGTGTGGGTTGCGTGTGCCCTCCTGTTGTAGTTGAGCCGTGATTGCTATTGGCATGACAGTGGATGGAATTAACTCTCAGGCCGACTGGCTGTGAGTATTGGCTATGCCCACAGCATATGAGCTGCTGGGTGGAGGCTGACCCCACAGAGTGAAATTCACCCCAGCTGGCGTGTGTGCCTGTTGAGATCACACTTCGGGCGTGGCACTTGTGGAGCTAATCAGGTAGTGCTCTGTTGTGGTCTGAAGCTGGCCTCTGGGTGGGTTGGTTCTGGGGCCCCTTGGGAGGGGCTCCTGTGCAGGCCAAGTTTAGCCGCTGCCTGTGACTGGTCTGGGACTACCTGGTAGGAGCTACAAAGCTATCTGTGGTTGATTGCTGCCTGTGCTGGACCTGGAAGTGCATGCTGTGAACTAAAGCTGGCTGCCATCACTACCAGGCCTGGGGTAGCTCAGCGAAAGGCCTAGGGCACTCCCAAGGCCTGAGACCACCTGCCAGCCTCCCGTAAGACTCAGCCACTGAAAGAGCCTTGGGCAGTATACAGGTTGGGTGAGGTGGGAGTCCCAGGCAATCACCTGGATGGGGTGAGTGGTGTTCACCAGGCCAATGCAGATTCAGATTGGGCCATGTGGGGGGAGGGCTTAACATAGGAAAGATGGCGGCCGCTTACTGGCTGCGTGGAAGGATGGTGACTTTCACTGCAGCCCTTGCCCTGAAATTACACAACTCAGTCTTTCCCTGTATGTCTCTTGGTGCCTCCTGAGACACAGTTCTTCTGCTGGAGCCCACAGTGAGCATCTACAAGTGAGCGAGTTTGTGCGCGGGCCCTTTAAGAAGATGCCTGGGTTTCCAGCAGGCTTCATCTCACCCCAACACACGGAATCCCTGTGGATTTTCACAGTCAGATTTTGTGAGGACTCCTTTTCCTGGCCCTGGAACCCTGGGCTGGGGAGCTCAGTGTGGGGGTGGGGCCCCTCGCTCTTCAAGGGGGACCTCTGCAGCCGAGATATCCCTCTTGATTCTTGATTGCCATACGCAGGTGTGAGGCCAGCCTGTTTTGAGTCTTCACCCCTTCTACCATTCTCAATGTGGCGTCTTCGGTATGTCCTTAGTTATAGGACTTCTGTTCATGTAGACTTCAGATGGTTCTCTGGGTTGATTGTTCTATAATTTAGTTGTAATTTTAATGTCAAGGGAGGATGCAAACCAGCGTTATCTACTCCTCCATCTTGTTCCTCTCTTCAAGACTCTTTTTATTTTGAATATAGTAAATATAAATGCAATCTACATAAACAAATATTCTCTGAGAGCCTTAACAATTTTTAAGAAGGTAAAGGGGTCCTGGAACCCAAAATTTTAAGAACTGCTGGTCTGGATGTGCTGTATTTTGCTGCATATAATGTGCACTTTTCCCCCAAAATTTGTGAGGGAAAAATAAGGATGCACCATTATATATGGGTAGTACTAATTCTGTATCTATATAAATGTTTTTAATTCTTTTATTTATGCTTATGAGTTAAAAGTGTAACTCTAGAAATCAATAACGATATCTGTATGCAAAATAATACCCTGGAATATGATAATCAATTTTGTTGAACTTACAATGAATTTGCAATGAAAGTAATTTCGGCCAACGGTTCAATGAAATGAAATGAAGAGCGATATATTGTTGTCCACAGAGTAAGTGACTCTGACCTGATAAGATAGGTGATGCCAACTTTATTACCACAGGGTGAACAGTGCGACTTTTCTGTTCATACACTTTAGGTGGGAGCTAGCAATCAAGCTGATATTATTACAAAAATTATTGGAAAATCCCTTGGATAATTAAAATGAAAGATTTTTTTCCCCTGAAAGTTTGGGCCAAAAATATGGGTATTCATTATACACGGGAGCATATTATACATGGCAAAATATGGTATTGTAAGTTATTTAATGACTCCCCTATTGTTGGTCAGGTAGATTATTTACAGTCTGTCATAAATAACATTGTGATACAATAGTTTTGTTAGTTCTAGAAGGCTAATTGATATTGATAAAGGTAAATATTAAAACAATGAAATGTTCATCGTTTCTAAAATTTGAAATAAGATATTTTGGAAAGCTTGGAAAACATACAATATTCCTTGATCTTTGATTACAAGAGAATTGAAAATTTTCATTTGGAGGGGAAGGATAAAGAAAGGAGGATGATTCCTTGATCCACCTGGAATTGGTTGGGCTTTTGAGATTCTCCTTGTGTAAGTTTCTTCAACTCTGTTGGTTGAGTTAAACATTGATAGTTACTTGGAAGATCTGCTCCCAGGATAAGGGAACTGCATCCCTCAGATGAAATGCAGTAATTGATTTTCAAGTATGGATTTTAGATAAGACTGTTGAGATAGGGTGTTAATATCAACATATATTTCTTCTTTCTTTTTGAGAATATTGATAATGGTAACAGGAGATCCTTGATATTGTGTGACTTGCCAATGAGCAGGACTTAATGTAATAATACTGTAATATATTAGGAGGCTACAAAATGCTGGGCTCTCATCCTGAATTAAAAAATTTTTTTTAACACAACTTAATCAGGTGGGTGCTATTACCAGCTTTATTTTCCAGAGTAGGAAATGGGGGCTCTGCGAGCTTATGTAACTGGCCCAGGGTGACATGGTAGTGAACTGACCTCTGCGTGGCTTTGAAGACGGAGATCTAAACCACAGTGTGGACTGACATTTTGATATGGTCCAAAGTAACTTGGGACTATTTGTGAGAAGAATGTGTCTCTTATACTATAGCCTATAGTTGAGTCCCATTGAGTGAAAGTCAACAAGAGGTGTAAGAAGGCAGTGGACTCTTAGGGGATTACCATTCTATTATTGAACAACTTTCATTATTATTGGAGAAAATCAATGTAATAGCATTGAAGGCAATTTTGAAAATGGGAAACAAATACCATATGACCCAACAATTCCACTTGTATGTATTTGTGTCTCTGACAGAATTGAAAGCAGGGACTTGAACAATCATCTGTGCACCAGTGTTCATAGTAGCGTGATTCACAATAGCCAGAAGGTGGAAGCAACCAAGTGTCCATCAACAGATGAATGGATAGACAGAATTCTATCTGTAAGATAGAATATTATTAATCCATAAAAGGGAAGGAAATTCTGATATATACTACAACATGGATGGGCCTTGAAAACATTATGCTAAGTGAAATAAGCCAGAGACAGAAGGGCCAATATTGTGTGATTCCACTTCTGGAATAGGCACATACATACAGAGAGAGAGAGTAGAGTAGAGGTTACCCAGGGTTGGGGGAGGGAGGGAGTTGTTTGATGGGGATAGAGTTTATATTGGGGATGATGAAGTGTTTTGGGTATAGATAACTTATGGTGATGGTTACATAACACTGTGAAGATATTTAATGCCACTGAGTTGCATTTGTTGGGTTGTCGGAAAAGTCATGACGCATTTTTGCAACGAAAAACAGAAAAAAATGCGTCATGACTTTTCCAACAACCTAATAGTTATGTCTGGGCGCTGATCTTTGCATTCATGTTGTAGCTGGTTCAGTGTGTAGAGGTGAGATGATCAGAGGACAGTGCTGAGTCCTCAGGTGGGGGATTTCACATCTGACCCCCAGCTGTGAGGGTGGAGGGCATGTGTTTTTTCCCCCTTCCCCACCCTGGCCTCAAATGTTCCCATTTAGTAAATATCAATGCTCCATTTCAGTTTTTCTCTTCAGTATGCCTAACTGTGTTTCAGGAAGATGTTTCCTTTTGAGGGAGTGATAAAAAACAATTTGTCGAGAATAATATTCATACTGAAAAACACACATATCCTAAGTGCGTTTTTTGATGAATTTTTGCACACTGACCCCATCTACCTGGTTACCAGCACCCAGGTCAAGAACCTAACATGGTTTTTACTCTAGAAGACCCCCAAAGGGGGCGTCTTTATGACAAAAGCAAAGGACCAGAGAACTGATAGGGTAAACTGGTAAGTTCGTCTGTGTTATGGGGGAGCCAAACTTTTTGAAAGAACTGAGTGTGTGTGTTTCTCACCGAAGTTTTGGAGTTTGTGCTTTGTGAACTCATTTGAGTTTGATGACAAAAGAGTAGATTCTCCGGACAGACACGTTGAAATAAAGCTGGACATTCCAATGGTCATTAACAGACTTCCTTTTTCCTTCCTTTCCTCCGACCAGACCCCAGCGCAGTGTTTAACATCTCCGTGGTCAATGTCGCCACAACCGAAATGACGCTGCGGTGGCAGAGTACAGATGTTGCTTCTGAGTACACCTATCATCTACGTGTAGAGTCTAAATACGGCTCTAACCAAACCAATACTTCTCACAAAGAGATCACTCTCCAGGACCTGGTCCCGGGCACCTTATATAACATCACAATCATCCCAGAAGTGGCCTTTGCCGAGGGGAACTCTAGCTTCATTGCACAGTACACGCGTAAGTGTCTTCGGACGCCCTCCTAAGGGCGTATTCTCTCTGACTTGCACTTGGACGGCGGGAAGTAAGTGTTGGCTAAGGGGCCATTGTTTCTGGGCTCCCAGTCGAATGTGAAACTATTGCTTAAGCTGAAAACATGGGCCTCTGCAAAGGTTCTGCTCTTCTCATGGGGCACTGGTGTTGAGCCATGTGAACTTGGAGTTGTCTTTAGAAGCAGAAAGTGATCCCGTAAGCATGGGAAACATAAGCATTCCATTCATTCCTTGGGAATACAGACTAGAGGAGGGTCTCCTTGTCATGTTGACATTGGAAGACACTTGCTCAAATGAGGAGGTTTGCGTGCAAGACGGAGGGAGGGGCTTTGCTAATATTGGATCTAAATAAATATATGGGAGAGATGGTAGTTGATAGTATCTTTTTAGTACTTTTTTCTTTCATTAGTCAGATTTCCAAATCAGATAGGAAATTATATCTTGAAAATATATTTCAAATAAATTTGAAGTATTAAAAGAAACCTGAAAAACTTTAATTTTTTTTGAGATTTAACCTGGACAGGCATGTTGAAATAAAGCTGGACATTCTGATGGTCATTAACAGACTTCCTTTTTCCACCCTTTTCTCCGACCAGACCCCAGCTCAGTGTTTAAGATCTCAGTCATCTATGTCATCACAAC